ACACTATACTGGATGGCTTTTCGTGTCGTCACCAAAGCTTATCCAGTATTGTGTGAACGTAGCCATATTGTTCTGGTTCCGGTTCACTGATTCTTGGCGTGCAAAGGAGATAAAGACGTCATCGACGTTAATATATTCCACTTTAAAAAAAGACGTCTAACTGGTGTGTCCTTAATACTACTGAGGTGGACATATTATTTCTAGTGCCGATACTAATGGTGTCGTCTTAGAGAGAGCTGACAGCGCACCTGCCTGAATATATACCTTCTACAAAAGCGATCCACCTGTTAAGTACAGTATTTTCTTTTTTTCTTACAGCCGGATGGGACAGAACTGTTTCATTTTGTTGATGGATATCCATCTTGGGATGTCTACCTCACAAGTATGATGGCAGATGGTACATGGGGTGATCACGTGATTCTACACGGCGCAGCAAACTCTTTTCGAACGTGCATCCATGTGATTAGCAGTCTTCCACATCGCTATGACGTAATGGTCTGCCCAGAGTTTGAAGTTACTAGTAGCAACCGGCTGGTGCTGGGTCACTTGCACGAACTTCACTATGTTAGCCTTATTCCACAGATAGGAGGTAAAGATGTCTGATTATACTGCGATTCAAGAATTACGACCTTACAGACATTTGAGTGGAACAAGTGACTGAACCATTATTGTGGTACCGTATTTGAAGATGCTGGCCGGAAACAAGACGTCTATTTTTTCACATGTACAGTTTTTAATCCGCCAATTTTCTTATGACGGTACGATTAACCGTTTTAATAGACTAAGTATTTATAACAAAAAAATTTTCTGCCTAAAACAATTCATGCAGCCTCCTCAATTTCTTAGATAAATAACTGTAGTTTTCTTAATAGAACTTGGTTTTTAGGGCCAGCATCTTGCCTGCAGTCCCCTGTAAATACTCCACCATTTGAACCTGTTGTTGTAAGAATCCTTGGAAAATACGCGTACTAATGATTACCTAGTTTCTCTCTCTTTGAGTCATGTCGCTGATGATATGACTGTGACTGTAGCGTGTGAACACTCGGTTTTAACGTCTGTCAGTATACAGGTCAAAATTTTTTTTCTAGCAATTTCATTAGCATTTAGAGGTTAAGAACAATTTTTGCTCCAGTTGTTCCTTGCCTGCAGTCTTTGAAAATATTCAGTGTCAGGTTCCATACTGAGTAGAATTTATTCGTATAGGATCAATCCTTTTTAAAGATATTCCTTACCACAGAACTTAGTCAAAGACTTTTCTAATCGAGTTTGTTCTTCAAGAATTGTTCCTGTTTCTGGTGCGCTTCTATCAGTCTGTAATATTTTCAGCCTCGAATAACTCTTTCATTGACAAGTTATTAATGTTTAAGACTAATTTCTGAATGACAGCAATCCTTAACTAGCTTGCGAATACAGAAGCCTCTAATTACGCCTCGTTGCTGGGGAACACCAATTCCTTATCATACTATGTAAGTATTTCAATATAGTAGAAGAAATTTATCAGAGTATTTTTCTTACCATTGTATGTTAATATATTACCAAGGCCACTGCCTCTATTTTGGTACATCAAGTAATATATATAGGTTATAGTAAAATTAGTTACTTAGTGAGAGTCTTTTTATAATTTGCTATAGTGTATTAACTAATAAATTAAAATGTACTAGTGTTAGGGCGCCGGACCGGTTATTTCGTAATTGAAATAGGCTTTTTAAAGGAGTTTTGGCTAAAATTAATACATATCAACCGATACATATTATTCACAAATTGACTCATCTCAGGCTGGACATTTTCAGTTGAAAGTGTAGTTCTCATTACCACGTGGAGGCGTGTGTGGCTGAGCTGTGAACACCTCGAACTCTGGATCTGGAGGTTCGGGGTTCAAGCCTCGCCCGTCGCGTTGTTTCCTTCGACAAGGAATTTTACTCCACTTTGTTTTCTCTCTTCGCCCAGATGTATAATGGGTACCGGCGACATACTGCTGGGGGGTCATCATCATCATCATCTTTATTTAATCACGGAATCTCATTGATAAAAATGCTCTTCCAGAGAGCCGTGCAAAAATCATGCAATAAAATAACATTAGATAAGTATAGTTATTAAAATGGTTCTAAAATTACAAATGCGAGAGAAATAATTTCAAGCTTGTGTGTCCTTTAACAGCGTTTTATAGACTATTCGAGAGAACCGCCCTTTTATAGTGGAAGCTGTTTTTTTTTCAGCCTCAGTATACAGACTTGGTACAAACAAATTATATTTTGAGTTCCTTACATTATACGTGTACATAGGAATTGTACTATTAAAAATTTGAGCCACATGGTCTGTTGCAATGTGATTTTTCAATTTATACATTATCGTGGCAAATTGACCTGTCCTTCGCGTCTGAAAATTATCCCACCCAAGTTCATCCAGTATCTCAGCTGATCGCCTATCGTAACTAGACGAAGTTACCACTCTGGCAGCTCTGTTTTGGAGGGTCTGGAGTCTGTCACGCATCCCTTCCCCACAGCTCCCCCACTATACTACAATAATCGAAATACGATCATAGTACAATGGATTTGAACATCGTAATTTCAAAATGTATGATAAGGTATGAGATGCAGTACATGTCTCAGAACTCCAATTCCTCCAGAAGCTTTCTTAGCAATTTTTTCTACCTGATCTCTCCAAGTTAATGATTGATCTATTTCAACACCAAGATATTTATAACCCTGCGATGGACTAGCATCCCGTCCAGTGGGGGAGTAGCAATACTCTTAGGCTTGCTTTATGCTACGGAAACCAGTATAAGCTCCGGCTGTGTTGGTCTTTGGCTCGTGTGCGCCTTTACTTACCTTTCCTCATTAAAACGGGAACGGGGGAGCGGTCTAGCTGCCGGTCAATTCTGACAAATGAACAGTGCTCTTTACCCCTTAGGTTAAAACACTACTAATAATACTCTGTGCTACAGTCATTTTGATTTCATGCATGCTATCAGCTTCCGCTCCAGTTTCCTAGTAATGTTTGCTAAATTAAAGTTGTATAATGTACTTTATTCTATTATTTAAGAAGCAAATTTGCAAATTGTAATCAGTTTGAAACTTTATATTGTGAAGAGATTGACCACTGTAAATATACTAATTTGACTTTTTTGTAAATAAAGATCTCGCTTTCAGTTTAATTTATACATTAAATATGTGTCTAAACAAGTCTAGTTAATCCCTCAATTAGCCATTGAATGGAGGTCCCAGTCACGAATAAGGACCCTACTTTCCTTCACATCACGAATCATGTATCTAACATCCATTATTGCAGAAAATTATCTCCAGGATTACGATCAGTTAGTGTCAGGTCTGGTCCGGTTTCAGTTCATGTTTTTTCTGAGCGTTGACAAGGGATTAGGTTGCGGGTAAAGCTTTTAAACAATCTTAGAAACGCATCAGCCCAGCCTGAGAGAATGCGTTCAGGATCATTCTTTGACATGTTACAACGTGAGTCACTATATGAATAGGTATATTAGCAGCTAAATTCGATTTGGTTTTTTCACGAATACTTTCCGAAAGAACAACGAATCAGGGGCCTCAAAATTAGGTGACCGGAAATTCACGGATCACAGTATTTCGAGCTCTCTACATGAAAGTCAAACGGACTTAGTGACACAGGACAAGATCGCAAAACCAGCCCAGATCGGTTCAAAAACAAAAAAAGACAAAAAAAGCAAACACTAGGACACAAACTATAGCACAAGTAAGTAAGTATCGGTAAGTAAGTGAGTAAGTAAGTAAGTGTCGAATCGTGTGGATGTAATAGTAAATAAAGCAAAACCGGGTGGGCCTACTAAAGCGTACAGTTGGTAGCAAGAACACAGAAATTTTCTCCATGCTCTGTGAGTCCTTGGTAATATCAGTCCTATCCGGCGAGCAAGGCGAAACGAAAAGAGACTTCGTAAGAGAAAATGCTGAGAACTGCTAAAATTGGGCCTGATCTCAGGTTATAATCAGCCTTGCTTCTTTTGCTCCACTTTTTAATCGAGGTGCACAGAGGCTGAGCACTTTGTCATGTACGAATTTTTTTCCTTTGGGTTTCACTTTGCATAAATTTTTTTGGGGGACATTTTCTCTTGCTCGAATTTTTGTTTTTGGGTTTTCGCTACCTCAACCACCACTTAACTTGTCAGATAGGACACAAAGCGTTGTAGTGAATGGATCAACATCTAATCCCCAATCCATTTCGTTTGGAGTCCCGTAAGGGTCCTTGATCGGTCCCTTGTTATTTATAATCTACATCAACGATGTACCCTCGGTTGTAAAGTATTGTAAAATCCAATTGTATGCGGATGATACCCTCCTATACGTTAGCAGTAGTTCCATCACCGACATAGAATCTATGCCATCCGAAGATCTTAAGCATATAATAGAGTGGCTTAATAATAACTTCCTCTACCTTAACTATAGCAAAACTAAGGTAATGTTGACTGGTACACATCAGAGGCTTGCCCTAGTTGATAGTTTCACAGTCAGAGCAGGGGACACTGTCCCATCACGAGTCTATCCTAAGTATCTCGGCGTTATGGTCGATCCATACCTCTCGTGGAATGACCACATAGACTACATCGGGCGCAAAATATCGGCAAAGCTCGGCATGCCTTCGTAAAGCGCCCAAGGTCATTCCGCGTGAGTCGTGTTTAACACTTAATAACGCCGTGAAACTTCCAGTATTCGACTATTGCGCTGTTGTATGGTACAGGGGCACCCAACGTCAATTTTCGGAAAATATCTGTTCGGAAGACGATTTGAGATCTAGAATTTTCGGAACATTTGTTGTAAAATTTCTTGCTTTCCTGCCTCTCCTAGGATTTTCGAACATCTAGAAAATGGTACAATTGGCCATTTTTAACCGATTTTTACCCTAAAAAGGTCACCTAGAATTTTCGGGAGCATTTTTTTTGGCTGGAATTTTCGAAAAGGTGAGTTTTGTTCCCTATAATTTTCGGATCACTAGACTTTCAGCTAGGAAATCCGAACAGATGAAAACCTTTTAGGGGATAAAAATATGCCTATATCTACCGTTTAAATACTAAAATACGTTTGTTTAAATGGAAATAGATAATAATCTGAATTTTTCTAAACATATATCAAATGTATGCAAAAAGATTAATAATCAATTTAATGTTATGTTGCGCTTTAGAAAACTCATACGCAAGGAAATCTTATTCAAACTTTACAAAGCGTATATTTTACCTCACTTTTATTATTGCTCCTCTGTCTGGCACTTTTGTGGAGCGCGCGATGCAGATAAGCTCGAAGCTTTAAATAAAAGAATACTTAGATTTATACTTGGAGATTACTTGTCTCCATACAACACTCTTCTCTCAAAAGTCAGCTCTACTTCTTTGTTTAACAAACGCATTCAAAATTTCCTCATTCTGTTATATAAGAGTTTGTTTTTCACTCATTTTCCTACTTATATGAAGAATATGTTTTCACTCCGGTCCTCTTCCTATGATCTTCGTGGCAACTACATTCTTTCACTAAGTAAACCTAAAACAACTACCTATGGTCTTAACTCCTTTTCTTACTTTTCAGCTAAGCAGTGGAATGCACTGCCGGACTTTTTTCGTACCAGTTTTT